TCAGAATAATAAAGATCAATACGAAACTAAACACCATCATAGTCAAGTGTATTCGCTCATCAGCTGTAGATGAAAATTGTTAACTGAATAGAACTCAGTGAAGGAGGCAAAGAATGAGATAATTCTTAAGAGGTATACATACAAATATATCTTAATCATAATCTTATTAGCAAACGTAAACATTTATTCATAATACCTATATAATATATAGAATATACTGTTTCGAATTGACTGAAAGTAAATTAACATTCGAGAAATTCGCAGTTTGTTTACTTGAAATCAAAAGACATTAATTAGAGAGTCAGTATATAGTGAAAAATATCGAAAGGTATGTTAAATATGGAGAAAAACATTTTGGTATTTCATACTTCCGTATTACACTATGTGGGATCTTAATCTACTTGTATTATTTCTGTTGAGCTTCGGTTTGTTCCTTAGTTTGATCCTTTCCATAACTTGAGCATCAACTTTGATGAATGCAACTGTAGCACTTGGTCTGTCGGCAAATCCCTCAGTGAGCTTAACAGAAAACCGGTAGAGGCCTAATGGAAAGTTTGGCATTAGGTTGGGATCGATGGTGAAATTCCGCACAATTATGTGATTCTGTATATGTGTTAAAGAAATTCCATGCATTTCAGTAATCATGTGATATCGCATCAGTTCACCTCAAACGGGCAGGTGTGGTTGGCATTTGTGTACTCTCTGACAAGTTTGAACCAAAGTGTTCCATAGGAAAAGAAGCTGCGCTTGGCAATGATGTCACACACATTGAACGTGGCATTGATCAGGAATGGATGGTACTGATTGCTGTAGCCCTTTTTAAACACCTCGAACTGGATCTGAAACAGAAGTTCGTTATAAGGAAACCACTCTGTATAAAAAGAGATTGTTACTTACCGAGCAATTGTGTAATGGCACAACGAGATCAAAGTCGAGCTGACCAACCGACTTGTTCCAATTGACCGCCTTGATAGAGCAGGTGATGTTCTCTACGCGCTCCGGATTAGCGGTGCACTCGGCGCTCTTAATCTTATAAACTATCTTTGGATCAGCGCACTGAAAAAGGAAAGTCTGTAATGTCTTATAGATCTACTCTATTTCTCTTGTTGTTTACTAAACTCAACGCCGCCCAATCGATTACGAGGACTATCCAAAGTGCGTACATTTCCTCGAATCGACACTCACTTTGCAAATGGCAATGTCTGCACTCCATATATAGGTAGAGCTCGAAATTGATTTTTAATTGATGCGAAATCATAATAAATAAAGCGATAATCATCATCATATTAGTGTGTAATATTCAGTAATTCAGAAATGTCATAATATTGATAGCAAATAGTAATTATTTCTTCAAATACTCTATATAGTATATATATAGTTTTACAAATATATATGTGGGATTTCTAAAAGTGACGACATCCCTGGCAGATGCAAGCTCAGAGTTAGATAAGGCGTTGATAGGCATAAGAGAGTCGTAATGTAGCCGTCGTACAGAGCAGTTGTGTGGCTTAGAGAAGCCGATGATGTTGAAGAATAAGAATAGCAAAATGAGGACATAAAATAGACAAAAGGCGAACGGTCGATCGCCAATAAATTTAATAACGTAAGTGTAACTAAAATCAATCTATATAATATTAAATCCAATAATATAATATAATAAATTGTAGACAATTATTGTGAAAATACATAAACTCGTCATAGTTAAAAATTAAGAGAAAATGGAAAATTTGTTATCACAAAAAATTCCTCCTGGATATAATGAAAACTGCGTTTGCCAGAAACGGATGATATCGATTGTTGTAGTCGCGCTTAAACGACTCTATGTGAATCAAGGAATATAATATATTGGCATACCATGCAAATGCTCTTACCGATGTATTTGCCAGAGGTAAAACCAGATCACAGTCCATGAGCTGGTGGGTTTCTCTACGCGTTCCGGATTAGCAATCAAGCTATTCTTGGATCAACGCACTGAAAAGGAAAAGCCTATGATGTCTTACATATCTACTCTATGGATGGATTACAAAGACTATCCAAAGTGCATACACTTACTCGAATCGAATTCACTTTTCAAATGGCAATGTCTGCACTCCACATATAATAAGAGATCTAAATAGATTTCCAATTGTTTCGAAATCATAATACATAAGAAATTATATTATAATTATTTCTTCAAATGTTGATATATCATTAAACAATTTCAACATATTTTTAATAGTAAGATCTTATCGGTGCAATTACTGCTAATCGAGGCATAACAAACATATAATATATGGAACATGTGTTTTAATACATGTATGTGTATACATATATGTATACACATACTTTAAGAGGCGATAGCGATTAATTTTGCTGTGAAACCCATAAGATAAAAAATGACACAAAACATTTATGCATATAGCTGGAATATTTTATTCAAAAATCCTCAGAACTCAGGAACATATAATTGAAATTTCATTGGGTTAATCAAATTCATTTTACTTTGGAGGCTGATTTACACCTTCGTTACGTTTTTCTTGGGTTTCCTTCTATTCAATTGAACCATTTCCATGGCATGGACAAAAAGCTTGATTTCCCCAATGTAATCGTAATCGTTAATATGATTTTCCATAATGAAAATTGAAAACTGATAGAAACCCAGCGGGAATGCCGGCAGTAGGTTCTCATCGACATACAAATCGCGGGCCATAAGGTGGCCTACGAAGGGGCAAGAGTGATTAAAATTCGAATACCGTTCACATAGCTTTCGAATTATTACGCCATAAGGCGAAAAGTTCCTTTTCGAGAGCACGTTACACATATTAAATATAACATCGATTAGAAAGGGCTGATATTGATTGTTGTAGTCTTGTTTGTAGACCCGCAAGCGAACCTGGAAGATTTGAAGAAATAGTTCCTAGGTTCCACTCTAGTTTACTTTACTCACAGTTACATTGCGTATAGGTTGAAGAATGTAACAATCCATTTGAGCGATTGCCTTATTCCAATTTATCGCTTTCACAAAGCATAACGGTTCGGAAACAAACTTTGAATTTATTAAGCATTCAATCTTTTTGATTTTATATATCTGCTTTGGGCCGCAGCTCTGCAAAAGTTTAGTTGGGTTACTCGAACTTATTTTTTAGGACTTTTAATAATAGTTTTCAATTCACCCCCTGATATATCAGAAATACACTGATCAGCGCGAATAGTTTCAAGTCCATGACTGCTCAGCTATGAAATAAAATAGAAAAATCGAAGTGGAATATATATTTAGCTGACATCAGTTCACGATATTGAACAAACAGATTTTTAATGAATTAATTTCAGTCTATTTCAAAATGTAAGTGGGATCGAGATCTTTCAACTGATTTCATGGGAAAAAATTATATATTTAAATAATATATGTATAAATAATATTTCCAGAGGCTCTCAATGGAGCTGCTCATTTGAATGAGCTTACCGAACTTGTTCAGGGATCAGTCGACAATGAACGTTCGTTATACATAATGATTTTTGCATGAATCGATTGCCTTCCCCGGCTATTAAGGAACTACCTCCGTTTCTCAGCACTGAGCATTATGAATTATGCATAAGTCGCTCTCCCATTAGTAGTTGAACTAATAGTCTATATATATAAAAGAAAGTTGTGTAAAAAACAGAGAATGTCGTTTACCACAAGGTGCTTGAATGAAAATCCGATTCATAAATTAATCA